AGGCTCCTGACCAGCTGCGAAGAGAGGATGTAGGGACATTTGTACCCACTGGAGTTTGTACAGTATCTCAGGAGAGGGCCTTTAAAACTAGCATTTGTGCCTGCACTTTCCGGCAGTGAGCACATGTGAGACTTGATACTCTCCATATCATAACATAAGGCACTCCCAAGGATAGGAAATGTATATAAAGGAGTTAATAATCTCCGTTTCCCATAAGAACAATGTTCTTTGCCTCGGATGATCATAAAATCAGTTAAAGGAGAAGTCTCAGTTTTAGATTTCCCATATTACTCCAGAAGTGTTTTTAGTCAGGTTGACTCTGTTTCCAGAGTGTGAGGGTATTTATCATTGTTACTGTCCAAGTGTTGATATTTTACAAAAATTTAAGATCCCCTCTGGCTATTTTGTTTCATTAGAAGAAACTTCTGTTACTGGTTCAAATGAAGTTAGTAATTGAGCACTTTTGACATAAAATCTGTGAGCTCTCCATCTCAAGTGAGGACATTTTGCCTCTTTATTTTATTGGGTTCTTAAAAAAGTTTTTTTTAAGTTTATTTATTCATTTTTTGAGAGAGAGACGGGGATAGGGAGGATCCGAAGCAGGCTCCATGCTGTCAGCGTAGAGCCCGACACGGGGCTTAAACTCACGAACTGTGAGATCATGACCTGAGCTAAAACCAAGAGTGGGACACTTAACTGACTGACTGAGCCACACAGGTCCCCTTTACTGGGTCCTTTAAAAAAGGAAATGATTTAGAAATTTTGAGTGCAGTGTCTCCTTCAAAATCTTAGTTATTAATATGTAGCCATTTGTCACTCTAAAAGACTATTGCACTGAGGTATAAATTGATACAATAGAATCAATAGAAATAGAGGAATAGAAAATAGAACTAGGGCAATAGAAAATATGGGAAGTCACAAAAACAAGGTGAGGCTTGTTTTGTGGCATATATTCATACATTTTGCATTACAAATAATGAATTGTAGAAGTTTCAAAACACCCAACCTCCAACATAGTGGTTCTTTAAAGTAGTACCTAAATGAGGGCACCTGGGTGCTTCAGTTCAACTCTTCATCTCAGCTCAGGTCTTGATCTCAGGGTCATGAGTTCAAGCCCCATATTAGGCTCCATTCTGGGCATGAAGTCCAAAAAACAAAACAAAACAAACAAAAAAATAAAAAAAACAAGTAGTTCCTAAATGAGGAGACCTAAAAGCATAAAAGTATGGTAGATGAATATTGGGTAAAGTCCTTTCTTACTAGATTAAGGCAAAATCCTGGGGCGCCTGGATGGCTCAGTCGGTAAAGCATCCGACTTCTGCTCAGGTCATGATCTCATGGTTCGTGGGTTCGAGCCCCGCATCGGGCTCTGTGCGTCCGACTTTGGCTCGGGTCATGATCTCATGGTTTGTGATTCGAGCCCCGCGTCGGGCTCCGCTGACAGCCGGCTCAGAGCCTGGAGCCTGTTTCGGATTCTGTGTCTCCCTCTCTAACCCTCCCCTGCTCATGCTCTCTCTCTCTCTCTCTCAAAAATAAAAAATTAAAAAAAAAACATTAAAAATTTTTAAAAAAGAGGAAGGAAGACCAATTTAGGGAACAGCAGATTTGCAGTTCATCTCACCCCTGTCTGAGCAACAAGGATGAGAGTTAGATTGTCCCAGAGAGCAACCTGCTTGCCACTGGGCTCATGCTGAAGCGTGTATGATAGGATTCCCTTGGATTCCATACCTTTTAAGGGTCTGTATCCCACTTTACTGGTATATGTGTATATACACATATGTGTGTATATATGTATTTCTATGTTCAGACATCGGCATTCAAAATCTCTTTTGTCCTATTAATAATAAAAAGTGCACATTGATCAGTTAGTTGAATTATATGTACTTATATATATCAGTTTTGTCTTTTCCTTAAGAATCACAGAGCTGTCAGAGACCCTAGAAGTCATCTTGTGCAGTTTGTTTATTTTACAGAAGATAGACTTCTGATCTGGAGAGGCTCATTTGTCCCTAGTTGCTAATGTGTGACTGAACTAAGCCTAGATTTCCTATCTCCTGGTCCTGGCCCAGTGCTTGTTTTACTGTACTGTACCGCCTTACCGCTCCTGAAATGATGGGTCATTAAATATAAACAAAACATTTAAAACAAATAAACAAAAACTAAGTTGGGGCACCTGGGTGGCTCAGTTGGTTAAGCGTCTCACTTCAGCTCAGGTCATGATCTCATGGTTCATGAATTCGAGTCCCACACTGAGCTCTCTCTTGTCGGTGCAGAGCCTGCTTCAGATCCTCTCTCCCCGTCTCTCTACCCTGCCCTTGTGCTCTCACTCTCTCTCAAAAATAAACATAAAATAAGTTAATTTCACTGAGAGGCCAAATGTGGGTACAGATTTGATGGTAAACTGTTACCCCTACAGTATCTTTCAGAAGTTTTATTTAGAGTTTAGTAGTTGATGACTTCTTGAAACATGACCAATTGGGAAATTTTCCTAATCGAGTTTGGTAGCAAAGTTTTGTTTTTCTGAGGAACAAAATATTCCTAATCTATCTCCACATGTGTCCTGAATGATCTTTTTAAAATAAGCAAACCTAGTCATGTTTTCCTCTGAGTAAACTCTATTAAACAGCTCTCTTTGATAAAGTCTAAGTCCTGAACATGGCGTATAAGGCTCCTGGTGACCCAAGGCCCTGCTCACACCATCCCCTCCCCTCACACTTCCCTCGAGTCAGGGCTCACTTCTTTTAGTTCTTTGACTGTGACCAGCTCTTTTACCTTTATGCACATGTTAGCTTTTCTATTGCTTCCTAACAAATCACCAAATGACTTAAAAAACCACCAATTTATTATTTCACAATCTCTTCAGGTAAGATGTCTGGCATGGTGTGGTGGGATACTCTTCTTTGGGTCTCACCAAATTAAAATCAAAGTACTAGCCAAGGCTGTAGCTCTCATCTGGGGCTCAGCATCCTCTTTCAAACACCCTGGTTATTGGCAACATTCAGATACCCATTTCCTTGACACATCTTTAGAGTCAGCAGGGACATGTCCGACACTTTTTATTCTTCCAGCCTCTCTCTGACATACTCTCCTGTCATGTCTGTGTGGCTTCCTCTTCTGTCCTCAGCCAGCAGGAAGTTCTCCTTGCAAAGGACTCATGTGACTATTTCAGCCCCACCTAGATAATCCAGGATAATCTCCCTATTTTAGGAATAGCCAGTTAGTAACTTTAGTTATACCTCAAGAGTCCCTTTTGCCATGTAGAATGACATATTTATGGGCATGACACCGGGGGTGGGGGCAGGAGGAGAGTTCATAGGGGTTAAAAATTCTGCCTACTATGACACAGTACTCTCGTTCTTGCCTCTGCATCCTGCTCCTTCATCTGCTAACTCATACCTTCATCTACTGGGTCTCAGGAGGTTTTCTTACCCCTTCCCCCCATTCTCAGGGTTAGATCAGGCATTGCTCTTCAGTGCTCACTTAGGACTCTTCACATCCCCATTGTACCACTTGTCACTTGGTATGCATATCTGTATTGTTTGAGGGGACTGTCTGTCAACTCTCTGAGGGAAGAAGCCATGTTTATCTTGACACATTTGCATTTCCCTGCTTAACATTATGTCTGCCATACAGTTGACGCCCAGTTAAAAACAAAAGTTGAATCAATAAATTATTTGTACCCATGAAAGGTGGAAGCATGATAGCTGTGTTTAATACAAATTTCTAAGACTGTCAGAGGAAAAGAGAAGACAAATTTAACTCAATATTTATAAATTATTAGAAACAACAACAACAACAAAAACTCTAGCCTGCATTTGTAAAGTACTGTATGCCTCATTACTGTGCTTTTAGTGGAAGCTCACTGACAGAGTGTCAGGGATATTGCTGGAAGCTCTGGTTTGTGATTAATTCTTGTTCAGGTTGATGTAAGACCAAAGGAGATGAGGTCACTTGTATTCCTATACCTGTGGCCCCCAGGAGAGTCCTACATCCTGTTGTCACTAGTAGTGTCCCTGTCCATTCACTGGAATTTTCCAGACTGGTACATCTGGGATAACTGACTCCCTAGTCCTTTAGCCTAAGCTGGTTACTGAGTCACAACTGAGTGACAGGATTAGTATAGTCGAGTTACTTTTAAAAGTCGCTAACTGTGAAGAAGCAATATTAGGAGTAAAAGGACTATTAACGCACATCCTCAGAGAAGAAGTAGTGTTTAAGAGCAGGCCTTTTGGGTTACATACCCAGCTCTACCACTTGCCAGCTCTGTGACCTTAGATTAGTCTCTGGGGTTCAGTTTCCTCAACTATAACATAGAGATGATCATAGTAGAACCTTTAGATTGTGAGAATGAAGTAGGCAAGACCATAGAGGATGGAGTGCCTAGAGTGTGATAAGCCACGTGGCAGGGTTACCTCTCCTCCTCCTCCCCCACAACGTTATCCTACAGGCACATCCAAGAGAATTCAAGGCCTACAACCACATGCACAGTGTCTGGCATTCCTGTACTAGGAATACAGTCATATATATACATATATATATAAAACAGCTCCAACATGGAGCTTGAACTCAGAACCCTGAGAACAAGATTTGCACACTTTACTCAGCCATCCAGGCAGCCCTACAATGATACATTCGATTTAGTAAATAACATGTTCACTTGTAATTTTTATTTATATTTACTCTTTCAGATAAGTATAGGAAATTGTCCCAAGAACTTTATAAAAACTGAATACTGTGTTAATCTTGTGTTGCCCAAAACTTCCTCAGGCAGTTTGAAAGATGGGACTTACTTAATCTCTTTTTTATTATTAAAAGCAAATGGATGCTTTTGGAAACCATCTGAATTTTTTTCCAGAATAAAGAAAAGTATAGTCAAGTAAAATTAATATTTTACATGTATCATTTTCTGGATCATAGAGTAAAATACTCCTACCACAGAAATGTTCTTGTGTGAATTCAGGTGAGATGTTAATTAACACTTTGCTTGTCTTTGCAAATAGGTTCATCCTAAGTTCCACTATAAACAGGCTCATGACCCAGGCACAGACACTTCTTGTGTGGCATTTTCCTATGATGGCAATGTCCTTGCTTCTCGTGGAGGTAGGTTAAAAACTTTCTTTTGGCTGTATTTCTATATATAAAATGATCATAATTAACTCTAATAAATATTACATTAATATCCTAACAATTAGTAAAGATAGCTGTGCTTTTGTTAATATACGTTTGCCAGTCTGACTTCTTTTTCAGTAAAAAGCATATCCAACTTGGCAAAATTGTTTTATTAGAAGATATCAAGTAAAATTTAGAAAATATGTACTTTTTTGCCTGAGTTTTTATTTTAACTTCAAATTCCATTGGAGTTTGAAGCCTCCAAGGATGATCTTTCTCTCTATTTTATGTAGATGATGTTCTACAGTATTTCTGTACTATTTTTTAATTTAGAGTCTTCTGTTTGCTCACCGTTAATTTTTTTTTCAGTTCAAACACTATAACAATTCAGTTTTAAAAAAAAGTATACCTGAATGTCATTTATTTATTTATTTATTTATTTATTTAATATGTATTTATTTTTGAGAGAGAGAGAGCAGGGGAGGGACAGAGAGAGAGGGAGACACAGAATCCACAGCAGGCTCCAGGCTGCAAGCTGTCAGCACAGAGCCTGACACGGAGCTTGAACGCACGAACTGTGAGATCATGACCTGAGCCGAAGTTGGACCCTTAACCTACTGAGCTAGCCAGGTGCCCCTGGGTGTGATTTTTTAAATAGCTACATAGTTTTATGTGGCCATACTATAAGTTTACTTATCCGCACTCATATGGTTGAATATGAATTGTACCTTTTTGCTGAATCTTTCTCACGTGGATAAGCTAAGTGTTGACAGGAGATAGGAGGGCAGCTTATGAGTAAAGCATTACACAAAGTATGGGACATGACTGAGGATCTTCCTGGAGGCCCATTTGCAGGGAGGGAAAGAAACAGCAGAGTGAGTAGGGAGTACTCCCATGTAACATGGGAGCCATGTTACAGATGGCTTTAAATATCAAAGTATTTAATCTTTATTCCATAGGCTGAGTTAATCTAGCAACACTACATTCAGTCATACATTCATTCCATCAACTACTATATTATGTTGAGCAACTACTCTGAGTTACCTTTATGCGAGGTGCTGAGTATAAACTGTGAACATCAATAACAGAGTTCCTTTCCTAAAAGAGTTTGCAATCTGTTGTAGAGAGTAGTGGGAGTGAGGAGGAGATGGAGAGACATGGCACAGGTTTTGCTCAGTACAGCCACTCCATGCCTGTGTGTCTTGGGGACGGCATTCAGATGCTCTTTCCTCTGAAAAAGTCTCTCTATTATACCCAATGTACCCTCATTTACGTAATTGTAAAAAATCAAAGCCCATGTATATGTATTTTCTATTTGTGATATGTATGGAAAAGGTGGGTATTTATAAAATATGTATTTTGGTTCATCAATTCTAACCTATTCAAGTCCTGAGATGACTCTTAATTAAAACTATATATGTACTTTACTTACAAATAGTGGCTCTTACCCCAAGAGTGTGTATCTGAATCTTCTGGGAAAGTTTTTCAAAAATTTTTAATGTTTTTTTTTAAATTTTTTTATTTCTGAGAGAGAGAGAGAGAGAGAGCAGGGGAAGGTCAGGGAGGGAGGGAGACACAGAATCCAAGGCAGGCTCTAGGCTCTGAGCTATCTGTCAGCAGAGCCCGACACGGCTCAAACTCATGAACCGTGCAATCATGACCTGACCTGAGTCGAAGTCGGACGCTTAACCGACTGAGCCACCCAGGCGCCCCTGGGAAAGTTTTTCAAATGATAGATATTTCACCTAGAAATTCTCACATTCACTCTTGCCCCTTTAGAAGGTGTACCCAAATCTCCAACATGGAGTGGGGAGATAAGGGACTGAGAGAGAAATGTAATTTGAAAATCCTTCTCAGAGTATTCTAAAACAGGCCAGCCCCAACCCAGCTGTTAAGTACTAGAAGTATAGGACTAATTCCATTTCAATCAAAGCCATGTTGGTGATAATTCTTACCTTCCCCTTCCATCCTATAATAGCTGTTGGGTAACATGTTGCCAACACAACAGGTATACTATATTCCATCATTTTCCTTCCTGGGTGTATAGAATATGACAGATGGAAGTCTATTCAGCAGAGTCCTGGGGTGTTGTAAGGTATTCCTGCTAGTCCAGACCTACCACTTTAGCTAAACTCTTTAATGCAGACTAATGGTTTTTTTTTTTTTTTTTAACTGTTTGAGAATTGTGAGGGTATGTAATTTTTTTTAAGACTAAAAGCAAAAAGGTGAATCTTACAAAGTTCTTCCAGTATAAGCAGGTCCCCAGTCCAGCCAGTTGTGGATTAGTGCACCTGCCAAAAGTTGTGTTTCAGAGGAAGGGTCACTTGGGAGCGAGTAGAGACTTTTACTGAACTCTCCACTCACCTCACTTGTACCTGATATTGATTCCTTATTGGACCCGAGGGGTTGAGGCAGGTCTCAGCTGTGGACACTGGGGAGAAAGAGCAGCAAAGACATTACTTATATGAGTTTTGGCTTTCATTCCGGTCAGGAGTATTAGTTAGTAGCCCTATAGGAAAAAAAAAAAAGTGATCCTTAGAAAAATATCCATTATACTTTAAAGAGCTTGGAAAAGGCGTACTCCCCAGCAAAGTGAAGAGTGATAGCCACAGGTGGAGTTACACTGGAGGGAAGGGAATCACATGGCTCACCCTCATTAATGTTAATAGATAGCTTCATCTACACACCAGTGGGAGAAAGAATCTGTTGTGAATTGAACTATTTTCAGTCCTGATGGTTGTTAAATTAATATCTTCTTAAGCAGTCAGGTTATGCTCAACTATACCTTAGGGGAACTGCCAGCTGCTGTGAAATCACTCCTTAGAGTAGATTCTCCAGGGTTCCTTCTAGCCTACAGATGCTACATCAGTTTGAAAATTTATTTCTAGGAGGCCAGTTCATTATCATATATCTTTCTACTGTTCTCACATCTACTACTTTCAAACTCCCCAAACAGTTAAGAAAATAAAACTTATGTGCTTCTTTCTTTTTCTTTTTCCCCTTCCTTCCTTCCTTCCTTCCTTCCTTCCTTCCTTCCTTCCTTCCTTCCTTCCTTCCTTCCTTCTTTCCTTCCTTCCTTCCTTCCTTCCTTCCTTCCATCCTTCCTTCCTTCCTTCCTTCCTTCCTTCCTTCCTTCCTATAGTTATACACTAAGGTTAGCAAACTCTAAACTTGGAACTAGTTCTTTTTGCACAATTCACTTTCTTTGTTTTTTCTTTTTTATTCCTCTCTCAGGTGATGATACATTGAAATTATGGGACATTCGACAGTTTAATAAGCCACTTTTTTCAGCCTCGGGTCTTCCTACCATGTTCCCAATGTAAGTAGCGTATTTTAAATAATTGATAAACGTAAGAGAATGGAAAAGAAATATCTTCACCTTAATGTTAATTTATATCATATGTTTTTTAAAAGGGACATGAAGAGAATTTAAAATCTGTTCTTGAATATGCATTTTATTTTTCCTTTTGATTTGCACATTTTTCAGACCTTAAAATTCTTTTGAGGTTGAAATGATGTATGTTCATGTGTTTGTATGTGTGACTATATGTGTATACACACATAGGTCTTGGAGCAGTAAAAATATTTTAAGGGATTGAGTTGTTCTTTTAATATGTATAAATGACAGGGTAGGCCTCCATATTTGTTGTCTTTTAAAATCTGAATCCCATTCCATTAAAGCAGTTTTTCATAGTCACTGAGCATTATTATATATTGTTTTCTCAATTTTTTCTTATCTTCATTCCAGTCAATAACTCAGTATCCTTCACTTGTTCAGAGTATTCTGCTCAAGGTAGCTGAACACTGTCCTCAACATTTTCTTAAGTTGACAACTGAAGCACATAAAGATTTTTCTAAGGCAGCTGAGGTGGGATTTGAACTTTAAGTCCTACAGTTTGTTAAGCAAAGCTTTCTCTTTATGTAGAAATAAAATTTCACATCTGTGTTAAATAATGACCAACAGGGAGAGCGTGAAGTTGATGGAGGCGCCAAGTTCAGGAAACTGTGTAATAATAGCAGAGCACTAATTCTAGCACGGTCCATTGCCCATGACATTTATCTGTTAAAACAAACAGATGGACAAACAAACATGAATTTATAGATGATGAGACTTTTTTGAGCTATTACGCCTGCTACAAGCTATGCTAACTGCATGACTTCTTTGGACCATGTCTTAGACTGTTCGCAATCAGGTGTCCAGATCTCTAATAACAAGGGCTGTTGAATTCTAGCCATCAGTCAGGTTCCAGCGGTCCAGCCTGCTCCTCATTTCATGGTGCTTGACTTGACAAAACTCAAATTATTTGGGGATGGTAGTTAGTGGTGATAAAAAACATAATTCCAAAACTGGACAAAATAATCACTACTTAGACATTAGTCATACAATGTCTATTTGTCTATAGCACTGTCGATGTCTATATTGAGTTTTTCCCACACTTCCTTTACATTAAAAAATACAGTGTGTAGAAGTTAAAAGCACACATTCTGAAATCAGACTGCCTACGTTCGGAGCCCAACTGCACCACTTACTTTTGTGGTCTTGGGCAAGGTTTATTTAATCGCTCTCTGCCTCAGTCTCTTCATCAGTAAAATGGGAATAATAATATCCACCTAATAAGATTATTGTGAAGATTAAGCAAAAAAATAATAATAAGTGCTTGACTTACTATAAGCCCTCTTTAAGAGTTACTTCTTATTACAATGGTGGTGTTTATATTTTATTTAACTCACTGTTGTAGAGTCACAAGCTTATGCTTATACACTGTTTTTGTCTATAGGACTGACTGCTGTTTCAGTCCAGATGACAAGCTCGTGGTCACTGGGACATCCGTTCAAAGGGGATGTGGCAGCGGCAAACTTGTTTTCTTTGAGCGCAAGACTTTCCAAAGGGTGTATGAAATAGACATCACAGATGCGGTATGTAAATTCTTTTCTCCTCAGCCTTGAGAATGAAGTGAAGTTTGCCTCTTAATCATCTTTTGTTTTGGTTTTAGTTTTTAAATAGAACATAAGCCCTGGCCCTTACAGTGCAATGGTAGTTGCTCTTTTTTCTCCAACACAGGAATTATTAGACTGTTGCAGACTGACTGATCTACCCTTTCCCTTCCTTTGACCCAGTATTTCCTATGGGTCTGTCACACTTCAGTCAGAATTTCAGCTGGGCTGGGATGTTTGCCCCTCTTCCAACTAGTTTGAAGAGAGCAGATGCTAATCTAATCATCATGTAGGCTATAGAAGGGAGTGTCCCACAGTGTACATGTTTGTGAAGATTCAGGGATTGTGGACAGAAATGAAAGTTATGCCCCCTGAAAGTGATGAATTGTGTCATCGTTTCTGAAACCATGAAATCTTTGACAGAATTTGCCTTTCCAGAATTGTCATTGCTGTAAGGCTGAGCTTCTGTTGAGCTCAATTTCTATTTAGTTATTTGGGAGCTTAAAACATTTCAGATTTAACTTCTGCTACCTAAAAAAAAATTAATTAGTTTTCTTTACATATTTATATAAGCACTAAAACACTAGCATGCATGCACTGACTCATTGATTCATTCATTCCTGTCCTGGACTGGAGCTGTATGTAATGCAGTAATAGTAAAGTTTCCCAGAGGAAAATCTGAATTCCTTTATAGTCTTTTAAAGTATGTATTATTATTTCGATAGTAAGGTAAGTCATTGTTATTTTCTGAGTATGAAACAGACCAATTAATGTCTGTAAGTTTCCTTTGGCTCACTGTCAAATCCTTTAGCAATATCCTATATCTTAAACAGTGCCCTTATGTAGGCTTCCCATTTGTTTCAGCTCTTTGTAAACAGTTGGGACATATTATGTACTTAAATGATTCAGACAGTTGAACAACTGTTTTTAAATCACCAGTAAAAAGCTCATGTCTCTAATGTTCTAGTATTACTATGGAGTCTTAATTTGTAGGCCCTAAATTTGAAACCATGGTATAGTTAGAGACAATGAGGTAACAATGAGACCAATTCTAGATGAGTACTTGGGTTTTATAGATTCTAATCTCATGACATAATTTGAAATGAGCCAGCACTAATAAGAATTATTTTGGGGAACAGCCAAGAGCCAACTAAAATGCTAGAATCAAAGAAAACACTCTTGACTAGATCAACTTTAGTCTCAAAAAATGAAATTATTATAATTGGTTGTTCCAGAAGTAAGCTGTGTTCTGTTATGCCTCTCAGTGACTATACATTTTAGGATTACTCATGATGTGTGGTTTTAAATTATAATTAAATTTGAAATCTAAATAAATTAAGGGATGTATGATTGCACTTTTAAGACACACTAGGTTTTTGTAGTGTATGGAACATGCCGTTTGCTGTGTTGTTCTGGGTTGCTCTTCTAGCTAGATCTTTTTCTTCATAGTCCTTACAGCCATTGCATCTATTATATGTTTGTGTGTTTTATCTGTGTTCTTCCTCAAGATGTAAGCCCACTAGAGCAGAAATTTTGTTGTGTTCTCTGTGATATCCTCAGTGCTTAGAACTGACAGACACATCGGTTGTATTTAATCAATAGTTATTGAAAAAGTGAATGGTATACTGGAGAAGCATATATAATGCATTCTATAGAGCACAGTGTATATTTGGAGAGTGAGGCAGGAGAGAAGTATCTAGAGATGGAAAAGTAACATGATCATGTATACCTTCATAATAAGGTGAGTTTATCTTTGTTTGTTTGTTTATAGCAAAGGAATGACACAATCAGATTTACGCTTTAAAACCATTCATTTTTACTGAAGTGTGAAGGTTAAATTTATAAGGTTTGGCATTCATTTGTGTATGAAGGCTGAGGTTTATTACTTGGGAAACTTGGTCAGTGTTAGCTCTGAGATTAAAAAAGAAAGAAAGTAAAAGAAAAGAAAGCAGAATTCAGAAGAAATACAGTGCATTGTTGATAGGTTGAGGTTCAAAGGCCTGCAGGATGTCTGGGTGGAGATAGTAGGCAGATAGGTACTTGAGTTTGGTGCCTAAGAGGAAGAAGACACAGTTTTGGGAGAAATATTTACAGGTTATAGTTGAAATATTGGCTACTGATTAGTCTAAGGCACAAAGGATGGAGAACATGAGCCCTAGGAAACCTGAATGTTTAAGGCATGAGCAAATGAAGAGAAGTTAACAAAAAGGAACGGTCATTATGTAAATGGAATATACCGTACATTGAATTGTGTTTGGAAAGGCAGAAAACAGATTTTGAGATCCATATTAATAGATGGGTGAAAAGAAAACTACAAATAGGGACAAAGCCATGGCACTTTAAACAGGTCTTTTACATAATTGATTTAGGATTCCTTTGCATTTTTGTTGTTAAATCAGACAGCATTGGTTTTTTTTAATGTTTGTTTATTTCTGGGGGGGGCACACAAGCAGGGGAGGGGCAGAGAGAGAGGCGGAGAGAGAATCCCAAGCAGACCGCGCACGCTATCAACACAGAGCCCAACTCAGGCTCTAACTCCCAAACCAAAACCTGAGATCATGACCTGAGCAGAAATCAAGAGTTGAACACTTAACCACAACTGAGCTGCCCAGGCAGCCCTCAGACAGCATTGTTTTTGTCTTCATAGTAAGTAGAATGTTATGTTAAAGGAACTTTAAAATGTCCCTTTGATTTATTTGCAGAAGTTTTAAGTCTTCTTGGAATGTAAGAAAATAAGTGTATTCTTTGGAATGGATAAAGAGGGTGGACATTTTGTTAGAAGGGCCAAAAATATCTCTTCTTTTATTGTGATTCTGTCATTAAAAACCAGAATAGTCATTTCTTTTGGAAATACTGCACTCTGCTGTGGTAAGGTACTTACTGTGTTGAGTTTTAATTCACATAAAAGGCAACATCTCATCCTTACTCTCAGCATTTAGTGGTTTGCTTGCTTGACTAGGCACAGACAACGGTGGCTTGAGGTCTGTCCTCGATGAGTCCATTTACTTGAGTAAAATATGAGTGATTGTATTCTCACATCCTCCTATAAAATAAAATACACCCTAGCTCATTCTATTTAGAATGCCAAGCTCAGCACGTATATGGAACCAAACAATGTTTTCAGTCGGGGATGTTAACAACTATACAGTTTCCTAATAACTAAAAGTTATACTATAACTTTCACATAAATAGCTTTTAAAAATATAAAAATTTCATTTTCCATATTTATTTTTTAAACAAACATAAAGGAAAAACTGGTTTTAATTCCATTCTCTGTGTCATATGCTCTGAAAATTTTTTTTCTCTATTTAGTGTAGAGATACTCTTCACAAGGAGATGACAAATGTTTCTTTAACATTTACTATTTTTATTATCTGATGTTCATACACATTTTACAGTTCTATCTAAATTATTTTTAGATGTTTCTCTGTAGTCCAGTTGTGTTTCCTCACCTTAAAAAAAGTGCATATTTCTCACTTATCATCCAATTTTTTATGATTCAGGTAGTGTGCTTAGCCTCTTCTCTAAGTTCCAGAATATAACTTGAATCTTGAGTTTATAAGCTCACTTTAGTTTTGTGTAAGATGGGATTCTAAGCTTTTATATATTGTGTAAAAAGCTACCATTACTCTATTTTATGTAATCAAAGTATAGGAGAGAAAGAATGAACGTATAATTTGGAGGTGATGTATCAATTTTTTAAAAAATAATTATGTTTGGAAGAAAAATAGACATTTTCAAACCTTTTCAAAGTTCTAGTTATTTCAGGAGATGCCCTGACATAACATTATGAACTATTCTTAGTAATTTTTCATCAAACTATAATTTGTTATAAAATGACTAACAGAATTTCCCTCTTTTTTAACTCATATAAATCAAGGGACATGGTTTATACAATTATACTAACATATTACCATTTATACTCTTTAACCCAAGTGTAATAGAATAAAGTTTTTTGACCTGGTATTATTTAAGATAGTAGCCTCTTCACCTCAGGTGCTTTTGGCAATAATTTAACAGAAATTGGGTAAAGAGGGAAAAAGTGAAAAGGAAGGAGCTCCTGGGGAGCTCAGTCAGTTAAGCATCCAATTCTTGGTTTTGGCTCAGGTCACGATCTTACGGCTCATGAGTGCAATCCCCGCAGCAGGCTCTGTGCTGAATGTGTGGATCCTGCTTGGAATTCTCTCTCTCCCTTTCTCTCTGGCCCTCCTCTGCACTCTCCCCCCACTCCTCAGAAAAAAAAGTAAAAAAAAAAAGTTTAATAAAGGGTAGAAAGGCAAAAAAATAGAAATTTCATACTTGATCCTGACTGCTCTTCTGATTTGTTTGTTAGCTTATGTACTTAGGTGAGGGACCTCTGTTTCTAAGAACATTGGCTGAACAAAGTGAGGAATAGAAAGAAAGAAAAATAAACTTTTATTTGGGCTATAGCATCTAGCAAACTGATCTGGTATATGGTCACTTAAGGGAAAGGAAGGGAAATTTGCTTTGATATTTTCAACTAGATTGCTTTATTTCATTCATTCATTTTCAACTAAACTGCTTTAGATATTTCAAAGTTGATTGAGAAACCTAGTATCAACATAAGAAATACAATAGTAAAGGTCTTTTATGGAAGAAAAAAGTTTCATTTGTGACTATAACATATTTTATTATCTTTAGGAACATTTTTTAACCACCAAAGAGAATAGATAGCAAAGAGCAAGGATTATCTTAGGTTTTTGCTTCTTTTCCACCATTACTTGTTCTCCAGAATATCCTCTTTTATTTATGAGAAATGAAATCTAGATTATGCACATCTCATTTATGTTCTTTAAGAAAGAAAAATCAGAATGTCAAGTAATTGGTATCATCAGTTTGATGTCTTACTGTTAATTTTTTTCATGGTCCAACTCTACAGTTAGAAAAGTATATATTCTGGATCTGTCTTCCTGGGGCTTTATCAGTTACTTGCATCTTCATCAAATGGAGGAAAGTAAAAT